ATCCAGGAATAATACAGACAATGTATACGCACGGTCAGTCATTTGCATAAATCTCTCGGATTCTTTCCTCTGCTGCCGTCCTACAAGTATTTTATTCCTTTCAAACCAAATTCAACATCTCAAACCAGGACAGCGGCCAGTGCCGACCGTAAAACATACCACGAGTGTGCCCAGATCCACCCAACTGCAATCAGTTTGGCAAAGTCCCGCCCATCTTCGGTAAGTCACGCTTCTTCTCTGCCAAAACAGAACTTACCTGGGTGTTGAGAGTCATGTAAAGACCCTACACGTGTATTTGTATTACATAGTATTTGAGGTTGAATAAAGACGTTAGTCCATCAAGTCCAACCTATTAGGGTCTCATTCTAGAAGTACCTGTACCCCTGTATATTACCTGTACCCCTGTATATTACCCGTACCCCTGTATATTACCTGTACCCTGTACATTACCTGTACCCCTGTATATTACCTGTACCCCTGTACCTTACCTGTACCCCTGTACCTTACCTGTACCCCTGTACGTTACCTGTACCCCGTATATTACCTGTACCCCTGTATGTTACCTGTACCCCTGTATATTACCTGTACCCCGTATATTACCCGTACTCCGTATATTACCCGTACCCCTGTATATTACCTGTACCCTGTACATTACCTGTACCCCTGTATATTACCTGTACCCCTGTACCTTACCTGTACCCCTGTACCTTACCTGTACCCCGTATATTACCTGTACCCCTGTATGTTACCTGTACCCCTGTATATTACCCGTACTCCGTATATTACCCGTACCCCGTATATTACCCGTACCCCTGTATATTACCCATACCCCTGTATATTACCTGTACCCCTGTATATTACCTGTACCCCGTATATTACCTGTACCCCTGTATATTACCTGTACCCTGTACATTACCTGTACCCCTGTATATTACCTGTACCCCTGTACATTACCTGTACCCCTGTATATTACCTGTACCCCTGTATGTTACCTGTACCCCTGTAATCCAACTCAAGGACATCTTTTCTTAGTACTGGTGACCAGAACTGGACCGCGTACTCCAGATGAGGTCGAACCAATTACAATCTTTCATTTATGTACCAGATCATTAATCGCAAAATCTAGAAAGAATATTAAAACATATATAAGCAGGGCTTGAAAAAAAAAATGCCCGAGTAGCCTCACGGCCGGCCGTGGCAGTTAAAGCGGCTGGCCGGGAGCTTCTTGGAGGGCGAGGCGCGGCCCGGAGATTAGAAAGTGCGACCGGACGCCGCAGCTCTCTCTCGACGCCCGTGACGATCTTCATGGGACCAGAGGAACGGGAGAGCTGCCGCTGGCCAGAGGACTGCATTACCCAGCAGGCAGCGCGGCAAGGGAGGTGAGGCCGTGAGGAGACTAAAAGGGGGTCCCAAGGTCCAGTCCAGATGACATGAGGTGGCTCCATGGCAGGAATCAGGACGGGATCCGACCTACAGAGATCGGGGAGAGCTGTGCTGTGTGTGACACCATCAGTATATCACTCCCCCTTCTTCTCCATCACTGCCTGGCATCCTCCCTGCCACTTGGGGAATGGGCAACCGGTCCCAGAAGCCGCTACTCATCTCCGGTCGCATAGCTGTGCCTTTGTCTACCTCATCACATAGAATGCTGGGCCTGCACTGGTCTTGCATTGTACACGATGACACGGAGGGGGCCCTTCCACATTTCGGGGGGCTGATGAGAGATATTAATAGTAATATTCTTGCCGAAATCTACCAAATGTTGCCACATATTCTAGACCGGGAATTTCTCAACCTTTTTCAGTCACAACAATCTTTAAAAGATTGGCAGCAATAAACAGGTCCAATATCTGCGAGGTCACAAGCAGTAGGGAAACAAAAATTGGAGACGGAAGCGCCACTACCTAGCGCAATAAATGTGGTAGAGTGAGGTGTAGGCGTAAGAGTTGTACTCACCTGAGGCTGGGTGAGTATTCGCTTGTAATCGTCCGGTGGTGGTCAAGAGGATGGGGTGGAGTGGTGGTGGTAGCAGTCCCTCTTTTTCAGGATGGCGTGGTGTTTCGACCCCGTAGGCAAATGGGGATACATACACGAGGGGGTGAGGTATGCAATGGTGGGTGAAAAAGGGTTGAGCTTCTGTAACTCACCGTGGGGATAGTGGAGGGCGACTCTACACGATGACGGCGCGGCCTGTGTGGTGCCTGGGCGGTGGGCCGTGGAGTGGTCCTCGAGAGTCCTGGCATGGGAGGCCTCCGATGACAGGTGCTGTGGAGTGGTGGAGCGACGGGAGGTCCTAGATGGGGGAACTGAAGAGCGATTGGAGGTGCCGAAATGTTCAGTCTCAGTGGCGGAGAATTCACGTTGGGGCTTTCGGGGGAGTCCCCTCACATCGGCTTGAAAAAGAAGGTTTAACCTTTGAAACGCGTCGCCGTCAGCCCGGTCTCCACGGGTCCTCAGAGTGTCTCCTACACTCCAGCTGTTCACGGACACCGCTCGCTCCTCGACACCCGGCTCTAACCCCCGGCACTTCTGCCTATGAGCCGCTCCCCACGGCTCACGCCGCTACACCCGCATCACAGGCTTCTCCAGCATACGCCTGCAGGTCACAGCTCCGTCGGGCTGCCCGAAAGCCCCAACGTGAATTCTCCGCCACTGAGACTGAACATTTCGGCACCTCCAATCGCTCTTCAGTTCCCCCATCTAGGACCTCCCGTCGCTCCACCACTCCACAGCACCTGTCATCGGAGGCCTCCCATGCCAGGACTCTCGAGGACCACTCCACGGCCCACCGCCCAGGCACCACACAGGCCGCGCCGTCATCGTTGAGAGTCGCCCTCCACTATCCCCACGGTGAGTTACAGAAGCTCAACCCTTTTTCACCCACCATTGCATACCTCACCCCCTCGTGTTTGTATCCCCATTTGCCTACGGGGTCGAAACACCACGCCATCCTGAAAAAGAGGGACTACTACCACCACCACTCCACCCCATCCTCTTGACCACCACCGGACGATTACAATCGAATACTCACCCAGCCTCAGGTGAGTACAACTCTTACGCCTACACCTCACTCTACCACATTTATTGCGCTAGGTAGTGGCGCTTCCGTCTCCAATTTTTGTTTCCCTACAGCACACGTGTTGGACACCCCGGTCCAGACAGAACGGAAGCCGCACACCTACGCCACCAACCCCCCCCCCCAGTACTTACACCCACCACACCACAAGCGCGAACCAGTGCACCTAACAAGTACTGCCCCCCTTCCTCCACATTTTCCCCGTACCTCTGTTAAGCGCCACACAAGGGGTAAAAACTCTCAACTTTTGGCGAGGTCACAAGCACATTCTACATAATCTGCTCACACACAAACCAAACATACAGTGGAAACGTAACCAACTTCCTGTTGCTGGCCTCTATATAAGTAGCTGGTCACATGAGAACGCTAGCATGGGCCTCTTCTCTAAAAAGGTGGTTTCCATTTCCTTCGGCCACGGAGTGTATATGTTTATGTCTGTGGCCGATGGCACCTTTATGGATTAGGGACTGAAGAACTCTATAACCATAACACAAAGGTTTACATTGAGGTGTATAAGCGGCAGGTTCACCTGAGAGGAATCGGGAGTATTGTGCTTTGTGAATCAATTCTCCTTTTTATTCCATTGTCTCAATGACGCACGATCTCTCCTGAACTGTCTGTAAATCCGTCGCTGGTTTGAACTTTGAACACACTTCTTTTTTCTACGTATCCCGCCCACCCCATATGCAAATATTACTGATCAGCGCTTTGCAGGAACTTTTGATGGAAACAATTAGATCCAAATAGAGCATTTTGTACGTCACTTCCTAGTATGGAGTCCTGGAGCTAACAGGTATGGAATAAATTCAGTCTCATTGCAATAATGTCTCTGGCATGGCTTTTATTGGCTTGGTGACGAGGGAGCATAGAGCCGGCATCCCAGCCAATCAGGAAGCTGGTCAGCATGACTCACCGCCTGATACCGGATGCTACAGCTCGCGGTATACTGAGACCGCCGCAGCCGGGACGGATCCCGACATTACTGTCGAGATCCACCCAGCTGCATGATTGACAGCTGGCTCTGCCTATCTAGAGGCAGAGCCAGCTGTACCCGCCCCCTCCCCCGTCCGTTCCGCCAGTCAGAGCTGGAGGATCGGAGCTGGGATGGGGGGGGAATCCCTGCAGGGAGTGGTGAGTGACAGTCACGGCTCTGACAGTCAGCGAGCGACGGTATGTGTTCACTCACTTCCCGATCTATTGAGCTGACCTGTGACAGTTTCATTGTCACACGTCGGCTCGAACTATGAGGCTGAGTGATTTTCATTATCTATCTATCCCTATGCCTAATATTGCTATAAACCTTCATTCTCTAAAGCTTAACCCTTGCAGTGCCCCTTCTCCCAGCACTGCAAAAGTTAAAGGAGAAGTATGGGGGTCAGGGCTTTCCCCCCATAGATCTCCTAAGGGTCACGGGAAGACACAAACTAGCGTCCTCCCGTCACCCAAAGCTCAGTATATCGTGATAGATATAGATAGATATCTCTATATATATATATTTAATGAGTTCTTAGATGTGTACGATGCGGTTGAGATTCGAGTCTGTTGGGATACATTGCTGAGGATCACCGGCTGGCAGAGCACGCTGCGCAATGAGACTCCTGACACTATGCTGCCCGCTGCACTTGGGGGAGTTCAGATAGAAAGCTTTAAGGATTAAATGGCAGCGTGCGGGCTAATGACGGGATAAATATACGTTCGGTGGCCGCGGCACAAGCGGGTTATTCTCGTCTCGCGTTACAAAGCTGCACTTAGCTGATACTGAACTGTCGCTACCTGGAAACCTTAGCAAAGGAGCTCATATAATCGGGTCACAGAACGCTCTTCCTAAAGGGATCATTCGTGCAATTTTAGAGCGTGAACTAGCCCTGCTCCTGAGTTAAGGAGGCGCCAGTCAAAGCCAACACTGAAGTCCCTCCTGAACCACACTGATGTCAGCGCGCCCGCCGATCAATACAACGGAGACAGACTTTAATAGATTTTATGTGCGCGAGAAGCTGCAAGCAGAAGGAGACTGTGTGCCACTTATGTATTCCAGCATGCTTTAACCCAGCACGTGTGCCCCTGAGAGGTGACTGAACGGACATGCATGTCAGGATTTATGATGGATCGGGCCATTTCGCTGGAAGCAGATGCTCACAGATAGTGACTCACATCACCAATATCTGTGTAATTCTGTCTTTGGTATGCATTCCCTCTGATCCCCCTCCTCATGTATCACTGGCCCCTCCCTTTTAGATTGTAAGCCCTCAGGGGCAGGGCCCTTACCATCTCGTCTTGAACTGTATTGTAATGTCTTCCTTATATTGTAAAGCGCTGCGCAGACTGTTGGCGCCATATAAATCCTGTATAATAATAATCCAGTAAAGCTCTCTGCACCCTGGGACAAACATTTCTCCTGTTACACATGTGATCATACCATGTATGATTACATGCGGACAGATGCGGCCACTGTTACCCTGTCATTAATCTGAATGGGTACAGCAGCATCTGTATGGACACACCTAGGATTCCTGCCGCAATAATCCCCCCTGTGTGTATAAGACCTTACTCCAGCCATGTGCATGAGACATTACTCGCCTATCCACACACCTGCCAGATCCCTGCAGGGATTCCCCCCCCTTCTCCGATCCTCCAGCGCTGACTGGCGGAACGGACGGGTGAGGGGGCGGGTACAGCTGGCTCTGCCTCTAGATAGGCACAGCCAGCTGTCAGTCACGCAGCTGGGCGGATCTAGACAGTAATGTCACTGTCATAGGCACTGCTGTAAACTCTGCCCGAAGCAGCTAAAAAAAAATACAGTGTTGGAGTGCATGGGCACTCCCCCAACAGCACATAGGATGTGTAGTGGCTGCTCAAACATAGGAACTTTGCACAGACAAGCGGACTGTCTACGTCCAAGGGCATGCCTCCATATCTGTACAGATGTGCAAGTTCGGGTCGGCGTGCGGCCGTGTCCTGTCGTAGAGGTGTACAGGCGGCTGTATGCAGCACCTGTCCCTCCCGGGCTGTGCACATCTCCATGTGAATGAGGCCTTAAAGGAGAACTATGATGGGGGGGCTTTTCACTCACCTCATAGTTCTAGCCGACCTGTGACAATGAGACTGTCACAGGTCGGCTCAGTAGATCGGGAGGTGAGCGAACACATACCGGCGCTCCCTCACCTCTCGATCCCGTCACGGCCCTCTGCCGTGACAGGGGGAGGGGCTGGATTCCCCTCTCCCCGCTCCGATCTG